TTAAGACCATACCTGACAGTCTCCTTCCTGACTCATAGCTATACAGAAAGTCAACAATTAGTGCAACCGCAAAAGTAAATAACTGTCAAGGACGTTTTAATAATAAGTATGAAACAGTGCTCTTTAGTCCTTCATCATTTATGTTTTTAAAGTGATGTTTTTCACTGCATCAGATGCCAGATAGTGCAAACCTTGTATGGAGTTAATTAATACCATAACATCTGAAAAGTGAACAGGCACTGTATTTGGCCATTGTAGCCAAAGTTAGTTTTTTGTGGTGAAGAGTTGTTAAAACTTGATGAGGATAACCATTCAGGTGCAATCGATTATGAGCAGGATAATGGTAATTAGCCAATCAGTTACTAATTACTCCAGTTTTATGTGGTTTTTGATCAAGCATGTGCAGCAATGCGCAATTATCCAAGAGCAGATCACAGATCCCAGGTCACTGCTCAAGACCCTGATTGCTCCCTTCAAGAGAAGAGGCTTTACTCAAGACACGCGTTAGAAAATTCATTTGTTTTTTCTGTTACTGGTGCCAAGACGGGAATGGGATAGGTTTTTCCCTTCTTCAGAGCTGGGTGGGGTGGTTTTCAATTTTAAAAGTAGGTTTGGTAAAGGAACAACTAAAAATAACTATTGGGCAAACTTGACCTTTCATTCCACCGTCTGTAAAATTATACCCCCTGCCTGTGTGGACCCTGCTAGGATAATGTCAACATTTTTCTTTCCTCAAGTAGAAGATTTCTGTATTACTTCACACCTCTCAGAAATGGTTATTATCAGTGCATTCCAGAGGGGTCTTCTGATAACACGCTCTACACAGAATGGTCTGACAAGTACTGCTTTCCCATGAACCACAGAGCTCAGGTATGCGTCTGACCTCCGCCTCCAAAACCGCAGTTCTTCTAACAGAGCTGGGGTTGGCCGAAAGTGTTGCAACCTCCTGGGGTCACAAACCTCAGTCACTTCCAGGTCTGCTGGACAGATATCAGCAGACAGGTCTTTATCGAAACATAAAGAAAGGAACAGGCCATTTTAACACCACATGAGGAACATGATGAATAAGAAAAGGCCAGGATTATACTACTCTCAACTCTCTTTCCCACAACTGCAAATGCCTCAGAACCAGCTGCCGCAATCATTCCAACATTAAAAACTGCTGGATCATACTAAGAAGAAGTGGGAATGCAGCTCAATCTCCTGTGACTCCTGACGGGAGTTTTCTGCTTCCAACACAGACTATGCAGAAATTTAGGTCAATTCAAGCTGGCTGCCTGCAGAAACACAGCAAAGCAAACCAAAAGGGATCAGGACGATAAGGGAATCCAAGCCATTTCTTCTGATAAAGAACACCCAAAGGCTGGAGCTGAGAATTCTCCTTTGAGCATAAGAGCGTCCTTAATGCATGAAGGAAGGAAAATAACACCTGCGCTGGAGAAAATGACAATTTCACTGTGCTGTACATTGGGGACATTTTATTATTGGCTGTTTATACCATGCAGTGCAGGGGAATCAGATGTCTGTGCCCTTAGTTATTAAATACTTTATTTACTAATCAGCTGGGCAGTTAGCTTTTAGAGGTTTGAGCAAGGCAAAAAGAATCTATAAATACCTTTTGATCTCTCCTACCTGTGAGGTCAGGCTCTTTCCTCCTGTTTACTTATCTCTTTGGTGAGTTAACCATTGACTTACAAAAAGTAATGGTTTACAGGGAAGAAAGCAAGAAGGCTGAGTCTGCAGTACCAGATGAGGCACAATATCAAAGGTTTTGCAGCAAGAACCTCTAGGAAAGTTACCACTTTCTACAGCTAGAAAGCAAAGGATGGGAAATATACTGTACACTAATTCATTGATGGTTGACAGTGTAAATAGTTAGGTTGAAACCACAAACCATAGACATATTTTCTGGAAGATGCTTGCATAAGATTAAAAAGCTGTAAACAAATCACATGACAATAGGAACAGTGTAAAATTCTGAAAAAAATGCACACATTGAGAAATAGAATGCAAATATGCAAACATCTGCCTTATTTTAATAAATGACGTTAAGAGAATTAACTTCTCCTGAGCTCATCCAGTGTTGCAACACACTCAGAAGCTCAGCACAGGTCACGCAGTACTGGGATAGGACACCTCTAAGCAGAACCAGCTTGTTAGTAGGTGGCATTGGAACTCCAAGCTCCTGCCTCAGTGTGGTGACCAGGGATACTGATAAACCTTGTTTAATGGTCCCAGGGATGTTGAACTGAGGTCCTGACTACGTGATCAATAAAGATGATTATCACAGCAGGTGTGTGACCTCAAAGGACTGACTGCCTCTGGGCTGGTACAATCTGGCCTCCCTAAAGTCCAGGACGAGCAGTGTCTTCCTCCAGCTGGTCCGCCGTGGCCGGATGGGTGGTGGCCTTCAGTGGTGGCAACGCTCTAGATTCCTTTGGGATAAACTATCCTTCCATTTTCTAACCGTCTAATCTGGGGTCACCGGGGAGCCGGCGCCTGTCCCGGCAAGCAACGGCCGCAAGGTGGGGTACACCCTGGGTAGGACGCCAGCCCAAACATGGGGCAGCTTCCAAAACATTGGATGGGTCTGAAAGCGGCACGTGGCGACGGTATGTGGAGAGAACCGAAGGCGATCTTCCTCCCTTGCTGTGAAGCTCGGAGTTAAGCCTGTATCGACTGGGGAGTAGAAAGAGTGTGGCTTCAGGCGCTGCGTCTTTGAGTTGCAACTTGTTTTGCGGAAAAACAGACAGGCGACAAACGCGGATCACGACCAGTGGGGACTCGGGCAAGGCCAGGGCTGTACAGTGAAGCAGGGCACAGGCGGCCGCAGCCTGGTTGCTCAATCGTGCGGCAAGCAGGACACTGTTAAGCGCACCGTTAACCTAGTACAATGGCCACAGATTAGAAGTCATAGTCCCTGGAGTGAGGCTCTTTGGTGCTTCTCTGCTGCTCAGAAGAGCAGGAAATAGCTGCGGTGTGACTTTCTTTAACTTTTCAGATGGCACCCTGTGCATGCAGTCGCAGAGCAGGCAATGCAAAAGAAACCAGTAGAATCATGGATTGGGCAGAGAGACAGACCACATAGATCCTACCGCAGAAAAAACAACCAGGAGGAAATTAAAACATGTATACGCTAATAATATATTACAAGTAAACATATATGAGGTAGGTGAACGGCCTACATAATCTGTTTAACCCCTGCGTGTGGACGATCTGCAGTGCCAATCTAGTCCTTGTTTTAAGGAGAATAGATGGGTATCCTGTAATGTGGAAATCAGGACCGTGTGTCTGCAGAGCAGAGATACTGCTCAGCTCTGTGTGTAACACTTTTCCAATGGAACAATCCAGGCCAGAGCATTGAAAAAAAACTAATAAACAATCATGCAATAAAAATACAGTATAATAATAAATCAGTGTCTTAGGGGGCAATATTTCTGCATATTAAAACTTATTGGTAACCCCAAACACAGTTCACATTTGCTCATTTCTATAAAGTGTTTATCATTGTAATAATTTAAGGTGATATTTTACCCACTAACCCAACATTATTTAGCACTGCGAGTGTGTATTTTTATACTGTATCAGTCTGGGTGTTAGTCTGTTAGCCCAGGCGTGACCACTTGTGAGCTGTGATGTGTTGACCTCAGATTTTCTAAAGATAAACAGTGAAGTTCTTTACTACAGGTCTGTACAAAGAGGAAAAAAATAGGAATATAATTGCACTTTTTTTTTTAAACTGCACACTATTAAGGGAACTTTCCAACCCGGACAACTTGTTTGTCAACTTATTTCACTAATTCTGGCAAACTGCTGCTACAACAAATTGTCAACTGTGCTATAAATCACTTACAGCAGGTTTTGCTGTTACTAGAGGCTTTGAAACATTTCACACCTTGTCGTTTTGATCAGAAGACTGTTTAACACAGTGGCCTTTATTCTTTAAAAAACTGTCTCCACAATTTCAATGTTACCTGATCACCTTTTATTGGGCTTTTAATTTACAGCTACGTGGAAGCGCTTTAAAAATGAAAACAGGAGGCCTTTCTTTACACAAAGGGTTGTGGGAGTCTGGAACAATATGCCCAAACATGTCCTTGGAGCCCTCGATTCTTTCATGAAATGGGTGGATATGATTCTTGGATCAATTCGCTACTAACTACCAAACGGGATAAATGGATCTGACGGGCCTCCTCTACTTTGTAAATCTTTCGTTTGTTCCTTAAGCTACCGCATAAACCGTAAAATTAACGAACAATGACTTAGGCACAGCAACAGCAAAATAAGTCGAACATGCTTAGACCTGTTACATTTTTCAGGTGTACAGTACTTCATTCTTTGCAGAAAAGAAGGTGGCGCTGATGGCGTGCTTGTGTTAAACCATTTGTGAATACTAACACCACATGAAGAAAAGCCCAGTTTCCGACTCACTTCGTGGCTTTCGCGTTAAAATACACACGCTACCTTTCTGTTCCAGTGTATGTGCTACTTAACCGTCTAAAAATAGTAAACATTTATTATATATTTCTTCAGGAGGTGCGAAACCAGACCGCACACGGTCAGATAACTTTAACTCGCCTGATTTTACTCCAAGGCTGAAGTCCGCGCCTCTCTGTAAATATTAACCCCCTTTTCCACCGGACTGGGCAGGAGACCTCCAAACTCCACGCACAAAGTAAAGAGTGCTGTGACTATCACAGTCAAAAAACACTTAATGAAAACTGTAGTTGAGAAATGGTTTTAACAAAACTGTTCAATATTTTTATACTGTGTCCACACAGTAGGGCTTCCCTCCGTTTATACTCACCTGAAGAAGCGAGGGGGGGAGAGTTTTTGCATTTGCTTGGTACGGTAGATTAGGTAAGCAAATCTAATTATTTGTGTTCGTACAGCACTCGTCTTTAAAAAAAACATGTAGCTTGTCTCTCCTACCTCTCTCAGAAGTCAACCAAGAGTTAAACGATTTTATGGGAAAGTTGCAATAAAAAAATCCGACATACCTGAATATCCCGTTCGCCTCATTTTTCCTCTGTTTTTTACGGGAAGACTGGAAAACGGGGGTAGCCCACTAAGTCGACTTTCCCCCCTCTCCTCTGCCGTTAAAAAGCTCCAGTTAAAATCCTTCGAGACTACCAGCTCGACTTCGGCGTCATTCCCATACAGGTAGATCGTGGATGTTAATAATTTCACACAGACCGCTCCCTGAAGTCGATCGCTGTTCCTGCAGGAGCTGCTGCTATTCCTTATCCTCGTCACTGTTTCCTTTCACTCTCATTAGGAGCACCTGCAGGTCCCACAGTTTTTTCCAGCGTGGGCTGTTCCTATACAATCACGCTCCTTATGGAATCAAGGCGCTATGCCACGCTCGCTGCCCTGCAGGTACACTCCTTCACTTCTGTAAAGAGGAAAAAGCTTGATTAATCATTGACTTATTTTCCTCTTCACGAAGCTGCCATTCAAACAAACGGACCACACCTCAGCAGATACACGCTTGGGCTTTGGGGCTGTACACACACTCGTCTGGAAGAATGTTGCTGCTTGGAAAACATTCCAGACTTCACGTACTGTACGTTTGAATGCGCGACCTCTTCTGTAACGATCCGACTGTCTGTTCTGCCTTCTGCGGAGACTGGACTCTTTGAAATGTGTGTTAAGGGAGATGGGATGATAAATTAAGTCTCTCTGCGCTGCGTGGTTGACAGGGCCCGTTGCTGCTGTACCTCGAAACCATGGAACACCATCCCCCCATAAATCGGGGTCTCCCGGCCATATCGACCGCTTATAAAAAACAACCATGAAAATATTCAGAAACTATTTGTGGTGATAGTTTTATCTTCTACATCTGCTGTGTACTGAGATATGTACTTTCTATGTCTTGTAAAAAGTTTTGAGATCATTGCTTTTTAAAGGTACTTTATAACATAGTTCATTGATATTATGATTAAGTACACAACCACAAAAGGTACACAGTTTCGTTTTCTTTCATAAGTGTCAAAGCTTGGAACAGAATGGTATCCCTACCTGATATAATTCAAATATACCACAGTTTATGGGACTATGACCTTACCAAAAAGATGTTGGGATTAGTACAAATTCAAAATTGGGACAATTCAAATTGTAAAGACTTCATCCAGTTAAAGTGCAATACCCCAAAAAAACTGATTTCTGTAACATTTTAATTCAGCTCTCTGCGTGAGTCTGCATTCACGTTTCAGAAGGAACGTGAATGTGGAAAACTTTTTAAGGGTTTCATTCATCACTGGGAAATGAAATTGCATATCTGATGCCTACATGACAACCCTAGCGCAGTGGAAAGTTTAAAGACCTATCTCGCAGGAGGCTGGGGTCTGCAGTAGCAGGGGCTTACAGTTAGAAGACATTTCCTGTCCTCAGCAATTGCATAAAGAGCCACTTAAAAAGAGTCTGCTGCGGCGGTGCTCATGCCTTACAAAGGAGTTCGCCGACTCAAAGCCGGTGGCCTCTGACCAAGTCTGACGGGGAGCTCTGCAGTGCTGGTCCAGCACAGCGATTGATGAACGCTCACGGACGCCCACTCCATCTGTACCACAGCAGGCACGCAAACTCAGGCACGCTCTCTTCGGCGCTGGGAAAGTGCTGCATCAAAGGTCACACGCAGCTGGAGAAACGCTGCGCAAGAAGGTTTTGAGGTCGTGATCCCCTGTATCGACCATGAGCCTTCTGCCTGGAAAGCCCTGTCAGTGTCGAGTGCAGAGCTGAGACAGGCGAACTGG